TAAGATTTAATTGCTTACAAGGCAAGGTTTTATCTCCATTTCCAGTAATCACCTTTTGTGATGCAAGCAAAGCAAGCTATTGCACCATCCTTCTGCTTGAAGACAATTATCACAGGTATGGCAGAAACTTTTTTGCGGGGTGCAGTGAGTTTTTTTATTAAACATTACAGGACTATCAGTGGTATGGCAGGGATCTGCAGGGGGAAGATGCTTCATAATTGGAAGCATTCTGCAAGTAGGTCTAGGGTAGGAAAGGCAACCCTTTTTGCCTCAAAATTATCTGATTCTGGTATACTCTGATATGCAATGAGAAAGACAGGGAGGTTTTCTTTGGAAGCAGCAATGGAATGTTCTCACGCACATGGGATGCAAGTCCCAGGATGTAATAAAGTCTCACAGTGACAGGCGGCAACCAGCCGCCGGGGTGTGAAAGGTTTGCTTCATTCAGAAGGCTTTTGGTTTTGGTTTTAAATGACTCATTAATGTGAATTTTGGAGATTATAGTGCTGTCTGCAGTGACACCCTGTGGTGATGAAGCAGTAGTTTACCTCTGACCTCGTTATCGGAAAAAATACTACCCAGTTCTGCTGTGACTGTCCTGCTGCCTGCAGTCACTAGCAGGAGGAAATACACAACTGAAAGGCAGTTTTTCCTGGTAATGAGTAGCATTCCTTATAGGGTATCAGGAGACAAGTCTTTTGCTGTTACTGTTATAATTTAGCCATTATTATTCATATGGTTAATATTTGTAAAAGTGATTTCATATGCATACTGCCTGACTACAGCAGAAAATAAGTGAGTGTGAGGTTATAGTTACAAATATAACTTGCATATGAATATAGAGTAATTCAGTTTAAAATGCAAGGGTAAACCATATATATTTCCAAGAGGAATGCGCTGCGTGTAAAAAAGGACCTAGTGACAACTAACAACTGTATCATTGTAGAATCATAGACTGGTTTGGGATGGAAGGGACCTTGAAAGGCCATCTAGTCCAAACCCCCCCCTCAGTGAGCAGGGACATCTTCAGCTGCATCGGGTTGTTCAGAGCCCCATCTGACCTCACCTTGAATTTTTCTAGGGATGGGGCATCTACCACCTCTCTGGACAATCTGTGCCAACGTTTCACCAGCCTCATCGTAAAAAAAGTCTCTTTCTTAAATTTAGTCTGAATCTACACTCTTTTAGCTTAAAACCATTACCCCTTGTCCTGATGCAACAGGCCCTGCTAAAAACTCCATCCCCAACTTTTTTATGTGTCCTCCTTTAAGTACTGAAAGGCCACAACAAGGTCTCCCTGTCGCCTCTCTCTCAAGGCTGAACAGCTCCAAATTTATATTTTGAGTAAGTTGCTTGGGTTTTCTTCTGTTATGGAGCAGCGTACTGGAAGTGTGGATTCTGTTCTCAAGGACAGACTGTTCCATAGGACTTATCAGCATGTCTGACTTGCCTTTTTTCCCTTTAACAAAGCCAGATTTGAGTAGGCGCTCTCAGAAGCTGTTGTGAGGAGAAGGCAGTCTAATTCCTGTCAAAAATATTCCAAACTGTGTAACACTTTCATGCTAGCGTTTTCATCTGGAAAAAAAAAAAACAACTTGTCTCCCTCACATTTCACAAGTTTGTAGGACAGTGTGCCTCCTCAAACTATTTTTTTCCAAAAGATATGTATTAGGAGAAAAACATATCAGGCTGTATCCAACAGCCCAAAAGGCGTAGGGTTGCTGCAGCTCCATGTCTCCAGGTCCAGTCAGCAGCAAAGCTGCTGTGTCCCCCGCGGGCACAGGCACGGGGCACAGGCACACACGCCACCACGCGTTTAACCACACACACTGGTAACACAGACAGACAGCGCTTCACACCGACACAGCGCCAACGGCCTCACCCTGCTGCCCTCTCTGAGCAGGGCAGAGGGCCACGGCTGGGAACATAAGCAGATAGAGACACTCAGCTTGCCCCATAGCCCATCGTAGATCCCCGTCTCCCCTGTTGCTGGTGCCTGGACAGCAAGCCCTCGAGGCCACAGCCCCACTCCGGTTCCTGGCACAAACCATCTCACTCATGTAGACACACACATGCAGGGAGCTGGCTGGGACTCTCCTTGTCCCTCCAATAGCCATCTCCTCCTGGGGCCTTGCCTGTAGACATCCCACCACCACTAGCTCTGAGGCCACTTTGCTTGCCTGGCTCAATTCTCACTGGTGGCCACACACTCACTTGTACCCCTGTACCTGCACCATGGGCACAGGGCTCTGACCCTTGGCCGCAGCCCTGGGGCTGGCACTGTGTCACCCACTTGGGTCTCTCTGGTCACTGGCAAACAGGTCTTTCAGCCCATGGTCCTAGCCAGGTACTGGCACACAGATATGCCCTCGCTCCAGGTGCTGGCACCATGGGCACGTGGTCTACTGTGATCCAAGGTGCTGTTCCCATTGCTAGACCATAAATCAGGTCATCCCAGTCATGCACCACAGACACACAAGTGCTCTGACCCACAGTCTGACTCCAGTTGGTGGCATTTGGCCCCCCATATACACATGCAGAACAGAGGCCCCCACTCAGGAACAGTCAAACCAGAATTTACTAAGTCAGGACAGACTGTGCTGGTCAAGACTCAGGGCCTGGATAGACGAATGTACTGGCCAGCAAATTACTTACACGTGACCAGCTCTTTTTATCTTCCTACACGTCTTATCTTCCCCAGAGTTGTTCATCCCCAAATCACCTAAATCCATCCCTTTCCCTGCCTTTGGTTCCTTCCCTGAATATCCCATCATAAATCCTCATGATCCCAAAATGTTCTTCCCCTGCATCCTGTGACACATCATACCACTCCTTACAGACACTCCTACATTGACTCACTTCGATGGGTTTCATACCTGGAGCCTGGGGCTGAGGTTCTCCTAGGACAGCTCTGGGAGGAACCCACACAGGGCACCCCAGCCTCCATGGCCTTAATTTGTGCTCCTGTGCACGTCTGGGCTTGTGGAGAAGCCCTGCAGGGCAGGTGATTATTTCGGCTTGCCCTCCTGCTCATCCTTCTGTGATCCTCTGTGGGCATGCAACAAGCTTTTATCCCATAACCCAACAATAAAAGGATAGTTCCACTGTGCCTTTACCAGCAGAGCTGGCTGTAAACCCATTTTTCCTTCTAGGGACCAAGAAGGATGAAAAACCAGAACCTACTAAATCTACAGGAAGAGCAAACTCTCCAACGTAAGACTTCAAGGAGCATTCCTATTCCAAATTACTTTTAAGTAGATTAACAGAAGTCCTGTCAATCATTTACAACATGTAACTGTGCAACTGCTTGTTGTAATTCACAACCTAGATGAAGAAATCTACATCCACAGTTTTGTAAAGGTTATGTTTTGGTATGTCTAACAAGGTCCTATTTAGTTTTTCAGCAGAAGTGTAGGTAATAACTCTGCCTGGAAGTGAAGTTTCAGTTAAAATAGACTTTCTCTCACAAAACATTTCAACAAGAGATGAGATTCCTCCTATTTAGCCAGCAGTCAGAGAACTCATCTACAATGTTTAAAATGGCCTCCTCTACATAACTTTTGAACCTGCATTTCCCATGCCTCAGTCATTACTCTGATTACCTGGCTATATGGTATAGGGCTTCAAAGCAGTTCTTTTCAACTTCAGATGGTAAGGCAGATGGGGAAGAAAAGGGAAAGCAGTATTCTGAGAAAAGCACAATAATAACTTAAAACTATTTTACAAAAGCTATCAGATCCTAAACAAATAATACACAGAAAAGCATGATAAAATTTAGAAAACAGCATTTAATTTAAAAAAAACCCACTAAACAAACAAATGAGCAATTTGCTAACGTTGTCTACGCTACACAATTGAAAGTCTTAAGTCTTATTTTGCAAGCACCCTACAGTCATTTAGTGTTCTGTCTTCCTCTCATCTTAAGAAGACAGCCACAAGCTGAAACATCAATACAAATGTTTTACAATTTTTTTAAAAGCCTGTTCCACAAATTCAAGGTCAAGAGAAACAAGCTTACCATTTGCTAACATGTTTCAGCTAAAGTCTTGTGATTTAGTCGAATTGATGTTAACAGTTCAGAAGAGAATTCTCCAGTACCTCAAGTGTAGGTTTCCAGCTGATTAAATGTGGCACATACACAGCACAGAGCAAACTCCCTCTCACTTATGGCCAGCGAGAGGGAAGCAGGCTGCTCAGAATGCAGACTTCCTTTTGTGCTGATTCTTAAAGCCCAAAATATGCCACATCAACTCCACCCCTAGGGAGCTGCAGAAAAAGAAATTTTGGTAGACTGGTCCCTTAGTTTCTCAGCTTCAAGGTTGGAATACAAAATTTACTTTTGAAACAGCTGTCCTGTTGATATAATTGCTTTACCTAATATTCCATACAAAAAGTTATAAAATCATCAGGAAAACTGACTGTATTCTAAACATTCTTCCTAATTGTATGTAAAAAAAAAAAAAAAAAAGAAGCTGTTTCCCACAGTTCATGCCCTAAGTTATAAAAACAGTTTAGGGTTAGTCTATAACCTAAACTTTAAGAACTTGAGTTAAGAAGAAATGTATGATGACATTACTATCACATTACAATCATCAGTAAACATATTACATTCTGAATCTTCTTCCTATTGGCAAAGATATAAACTCAAACTATTCAGAGTAACCTTCTCTCTGCCCCTTCAGCCAAGTGAAATGTAGCACCAAATCAATCCGATAAGTGATTGGATCTTTCTTCAGCCACCTCTTCCTAATATTTCAGATACTCAGAGCACTACTTTTAAATTTGCCTGTGCTTCAGACACTCAGGTTTTAATTTCTAACACAGCCACGCTGTGTTTCCCCTCTAACAGTGGACATGCCTGACTCTGCAGCAGCTCATTACGCCACAGGTGGCAGGGAAGAATGATTCGGGTGTAGAAGTGGTGTTCCATGCTAACATTGCATATAAACGTTACAAACATTTACACAGATAAAAACCACGGGCTGAAAAACGACGAGGTGAAATTCTTTTAGCAAGGGAAGTAGAACTCTTTGGTGAGCATAGAGACAATGCACGGAATCTGTTTCTTTGCATTGAAGTCCTGCCGGGTGGAGCAGGACTCGTACTCTGCCACTCTGCGGTTCACACGAGTCAGAATCTGCATGAGTTCAAGTTTCCTCCCGTGTTCCTTCAGCATTTTGCAGAGTGACTGGATAAACCAGGACCCTTCGGCTGAATTCCTCCAGGAGTAATAGCCTGTGGAAGACAGAGATGTCAAACTGGTCAGATGTAGCAGCCTCTGACAGAGGGCAGGAAAGCAATTGGGGGAACAAAGCATTGTTTCCAACAGCCATCCGTGTCTTACGATAAAACTCGAAACCACTAACCAACAGAATTTAGATTGGATAATCTCCCCAAACTCCAACTCAAAGATTTTTCTAATCCTCTGACATTTTCTAATCTAAGAATACTTTAAGTAGGTAAGAAATCAAAAGGCAGGAAAACTATCTTCTGCTGCAACAGTCTTAGCCATTAATCACTTACAACCTCTTTGAAGAGTAACGTATACGGGGGAGAGGTGACAGTACAGATGGAGCCAAGATGCAAAACAGGTTTCAGAGGCACCACCTTCAGGACTATGTGCATGAATTAAGACTGGAACCCACTTCTGCTAACTGATAACATAAAGGGCTCTGCCACTACTGATTTTCCTTCAGGATGCAATGAAAATAGAGTTGACAGGCAAATAACATGCTGGTGTTTATCACCCACTTCTGTATATGTATATACAGATATCTGATTGTTTTGTTCTCTCAGAACTAACAATACCTTTTACTTCCTGCCATAAATTATTTGCACAGCTCAGATTAACTGAGTTTAAAACAGGCAAACTTTTGAGGGTTTGTTAGTGAGAAAGATGTATAATCAGGGTGTTTTTATTTTTATGGGAACTGAGAATAGCAACTACCTCAGAAATCAAATCAGGGGAGAAAAAAATGACTGGAGGGAATAAAATCCATATTTCCATAAAAGAGGACAAATAAAGTGGTCACCTACTGACTGGCTACAACTGCCAATTGCCATTTATAATATCAGTGCAAGCTGATACACAGACACAATTTCTGGAATACAGATTTCTTTGTGAGTCTCTCACCTGGAGCTGTAGAATATGCATACAGGAAATCTGCCTCCACTGGTATTTTTTGACACATTGTTTCTTCTGATCCACTGTCTGCCTCAATACCAGAATCTAATTCTGTCCCTCTGCAAGCCTATTTGGTGGAAAGAAAAATGGAAAATAAAATTAATAATAAAGAAATAAGAGGCAGTGATCGTGATCAGAATACTGATTTTTTTTTTCCTATTTTAAAGATGATGATATCCCAATTTAAATACTGCAAAAATAACAAGAATTTATAGGCTTACATTTCCATTGGACAGAAGAAACTAGCATTTATTTAAATCAATCACACAGTTTAGTTAAGATAGATACTACTTGAAAAGTACATTCAGAAACTTACTAAAATATTTGCTACCATTCTGCAAGATTTTCCTTAATCCATAGAATTAAGGTAATGCGTTCGCAGCTATTTCAAATACTGACTACCTGACAGGGCACACTGTGCCACTTTTTGAGACCTGAAGAGAATCTTATTCTGCAAGTAATTCCACTTAACCGAATTTTAGAAATAATTAACCTTTTTTACACTAATAATTACTGGGAAACAGTATTTTTTTGGTTAAGTATCCAGCTGATTTTATGACTGTTGTTGAGCAGTACATCACCTGAATGAAAAAGAGCTTGGGTTTTCCTGCTAAGCTTCTGCACCTGTCCCCTCTGAAGAGGCTGGTTAGTGCTTTCAGCTCAAGAGGGCCATCTGTACCATAGATCAGGCCTTCGTCACCATGGCTTAGCAACACGCACACAAAGCTGCTCCGCTTGCTGTGGTCTTCCTCAGAAACTGCAAAGGAAGAAGAGAATTCTCTAACTTCTTCCATTCCCTAAAAGCTTTGAACGTTTGATGCTTCCTACGTAACACAAGTCTCTAAGAACTAATTCCCGTGTGTAGAAACCTCCAACCAGTTTTCACTTCTGAACAAAATGAGCCCGCCAACTTTACTTCAGGAAGCTGGACACAGAACACCCCAAATTAAAGGCCAACTCTGCCCACTGTAAGACATGGCCACAGAACTAGGCCAGGAACACTGTGAGGAGATAAAGAGGGTGTTGTTCCCACAGCGTCTCAAAGTCTGAACAGCACACCTCGCTCATGTGGTAACGGTCAAGTCTTGTAATCTGGGATCAGGCTGATGGGAAATTCTGAGTTTTGGGACAGGATGAGGAAGTTTTACCTCTCTTTCCAATCAGAGATGCTTCGGCTACTCAGATACATGGCAACTCAATGTAGCATTAGAAGCTGTTGCTGCTGCAGGGACCTAGGTACCAGCATTAGCCCCCCCCCCGGCTCTCGCTCTCACATAGCAAGGTCTAGAAAGATTTTTCAGGGCTCTCAATTTTGTAATCAAAGACATTTAAGCCAAATATAAAGTCTTTGTAGATTTTTTTTTCATCTTGTAGTATGCAAAGAGCACAGAACAGATACTTCGATGTCTTTTGTTGCCTGACATTGTGGGCATTTACTTGAGGGCCAAGATGATTCCTTTAAACAAATGAAAAGATACAAACACGGTTTAAAAAAAAGGATCTAAAAGGAATTCTTGAGTGGGAAACTCAGGAAGATGCAGGAGTTTTTAGAAAGGTGCAAGAGGTTTTACACCAAAACCTGAGTTTTCTGGTTAGAGCTTTCTGAAATACTGGATTTCTATTCTGGAAAAATGGAACTATTCAGATTTTTCTCAAGCAATGCACACTCAAGCATTTCTACCGTCTATGGATAAGCACTGCATCTAGAGGAACAGGGAAAGGCTTTTTTTTGGGATTGTCTAGTTAGGCTGTACTCTGTAGTTTACAATGTCTATTTGGCAGCCTTCTACCTCAGGTAAGACGGAGACCTTTCCACTTTCAGCTACTGTCAACAGACAGGCTACAACTATACTAATAAATTAACTGTGCCTGGGAGCATTCTCTGGCATAAACATTAACTGCCACTAAAGAACCTATACCTATGTTAGCAAACGTTTAAAAACAAAACCAAAACAAAGCAAAACGCTCCCAAAAAAATCCCAGAATTGCTGCTGGCTGTTGGGACTAATCCTCTGAACACTTTTACTGCTGAGGTGTGACCTGGAACATTCTGGGAGAGCGTTAGTAGGCATGAGCTAACCTATGCCAGAGAAACTTCCAACAGGCAACTGGCACAGAGTGTGTTCCAGGGCTACAGGTACCTCCAGGCACTGGCTCATTTACTAGTACAGATGTAGCCAAGTGCCAGCAGAGCAGGACCGACACAAACAGAGGCATGAAGCTCCCACTTGACAGAAGGTCGTTCTGTTGCACAAGTCAAGCAAAATGTGAGTTGTTTCTCTGACAGGGTAACTCAGTCCACACACTTGCAGTTCTGGTCCCTTGACCAGACCTCCCCTGGGATCAGAACACCTCTTGTGCCACACCACTAAGCACATAGCACAGAATCTCTCTACCCAGTTAAGCAGGTTTCTTTCCAACTCACAGAGCTTCAGTGATCCCAGGGTCAGAAAATAAATCAGTCTGCATTTAAGTTTCGGCCTTTTTTCCAGCCTTCTTTAGAAGATGAGAAAGGACACGGAGACAACAGTCATGGCAGAAAAGATGGAGAGACAATAAAGATGAATAAACATGGAAACTATGATATACCCCGTGAGCAAAAAAAAAAAACAGGTGTGAAATATCATTTAAAAGAACCACGGAAGAAGAGATGTTAGGGCTAGGGACGTATTTGGAAACAGTGGTTGGTTTAATAAACACACTGAACATATTATTACTTACCATTTTTCAATAGTTTAAAAATGTCCCCACATGAAAGATCATTGTTGATCTTTATTTTATATCCCAAATCCATAAAAATTTCTCTGACGCTTGCAGCATCTACATCTGTACCCGAGCGGGGTAACATCCCTATACAGAAGAGAAATGTATTTTTTTTAATATGATATAGATGGCATGGTCTGATTGAGCCAAATTTTCTTCTCACTTATACTTGTATCAGTTTGTAATATTACTCCACTATTCCACATCCACTCTAACAGAAAACACATTGCACTGTTGTACACACAGTATAGGTACAGAGAAAGGAGGGTGGTGTGTAGGTTTATCTACTTATTTTTATATCTACTGATCTATATAAAGACATAAAAAAAGGGATTTAATTTGCAAAACAGAAATCACGACTAAAAGTTAAGACAGACTTGTCCTGTCTATCAGTTTTTCTCCCCATTACTGCTCTCTGCTAACACATTCCCTCTGTGCATATTTGGAAGAATGCACTGAAATGAATCACACCCATTCACACCTCTTAATTTTAGATTGCAGTCAAAATGAGTCTGTATATTTAACTTTAAAGAGCAATAAATGACACAAATTTATCTAAATTCAGCAGGGGGAATAAAAAAAGTTTGAAAGTGGTACCAGTCTCTCTGTGGAAATTCTTGTTGTTTATTATTACACATTTCCCCATCTCTGGATAATCCATTCTGTAACTGTATTCTGGCAGAATTCCAGAGTCCAGAGACTTGCTTGCAGGTAGGTTCTTTCTGTACAGAAATCAGACAAACTTTAGGTGTTAACCTCTGATCCCTCTTCTCTAGTTCCTAAATAATAATAAAATAAGAGTATTTTACCCAAACCAGTGAAACTGGTAAACTTTGCTACATGTTCCCTACAGGTTCCCTCAGCAAGCTGACCAAGCCGCGCAGCGTGGCTGACACTCCAGAGGGAAAGGATGACACCTAGGGGGACCCTGGCAGGCTCAAGAGGTGGGGCCCATGTGAACATTATCAAGTTCAACAAGGCCAAGAGTAAGGTCCTGCACCTCAGCTGGGGCAATCCTAAACCTGGGTACTTGCTGGGTCCCAAGTGGATTGAGAGCAGCCCTGGGGAGGACGGGGAGGTGCTGGAGGATGAAGCACTGAGTACGAGCCAGCCGCGTGTGCTCACAGCCAGGAAACGCCGCAGGCCGCATCCAGAGAAGTGTGGCCAGCAGGCCAAGGGAAGTGATTCTTCTCTCCTCTGCTCTCATGGGACCCTACCTGGAGTACTGCTTTCAGCTCGGGGGCCCCCAGCATAAGAAAGACATGGACCTGCCCAGGAAGGCCCAGAAGAGGGCCACTAAGATGTTCAGAGGGCTGGAGCACCTCTCATACTGAGGACAGGCTGAGACAGCTGGGGTTGTTCAGCCTAAAGAAAAGGCTCCAGGGAGACCTTATAGCAGCCTTCCAGTGCTTCAAGAGGGCCTGCAGGAAAGATGGGGAGGGACCCTTTATCTGGGAGTGTAGTGATAGGACAAGGGGTAACAGTTTCAAACTGAAAAAGGGCAGATTTAGGTTAGATATTAGGAGGAAATTCTTCGCTGCGAGGGGGGTGAGACACTGGAGCAGGTTGCCCAGAGGAGCTGTGGATGTCACCTCCCTGGAAGTGTTCAAGGCCAGCTTGGATTAGGCTTTCAGCTACCTGATCTAGTGGGAGGTGTCTCATGGTGGGGACACTGGGACTAGGTGATCTTTAAGGTCTCTTCCAACCCAAACCATTTTCTGATTCCAAGCTATATCTGTGAAATCAGCTATGTAGTTGGAGGCAAGATAAGCTCCAAGACTGCAAATCTATTCTGAATTCTAACAAAAAGTTGTATTAGAGTTGGATTTTCACAAGTAAGCATTCAAAACCTGGAAAGACCAAGACTCTATATACAGCTGTAATTCTGCCTTAATGAGCACGTCAACTACACCACCACTCATGGCTCTGCAATGGCTTCAATTTTACTCAGTCCATACATGCTGAAGGTGGGGTGGATTTTCCCAGTGAAGAACATGGCTAAGTGGTTACAAGACTGAGGCCTGCTATCATATTGTATTCTACAAATAAAAAGTCTGTAATGCTCTTAAATCTAATTTTCATTGAAATACTAAAAAGAATGTCTTCAGAAACAAACTGAAGTTCCCAGAGGGAGCCCAAGATGGTGATGGTGGCACACCAGTGTAACAGCTAGCCAACACCAGGGAGAGCAGGGCTGCATTTCCTCCCCTGCACCTCGCTCTGCACCCACAGCCCTGCAGCAGGTCGGCTCAAGCAGCTGAACTGCCTGCTACAGGCTGAGGTGAGCTTCAGAAGCAGTCCAGGCAAAGTGTTGGACATTTAGCCCAAAGTGAGACAGAGAAGTCTCTTTTCAAGAAGAGCTAACCACTCAATATTACTCTTAAGTCAAGTCTAACTGCACCCCAAGTGTTTTGCTTTTTGGTGCCTTGTACATGCCCAGGTGGCCTGGCCTGTCAGAGACTGACTTTCAAAGTCAGTACAATAACTCTAACAGTAATTTATGATTATCATAATTTACCATAATTTAATTGTTTTCCTTTTAGCATTATTTCTTCTATGGCTTTCACCTTCTGTTACAGCACAAGTTCCCTCAAGACTTAAATTGAAGACTTAAACCAAAGTACCTCACTTACCCTTTGAAACCAGGAACAGATCTTGCATCTGTCAGATCTCCCCCCGAATGTGGTCCATCTCCAGTGTCTGCCATTATGGCACTCAATTATCAGCTTGAAAACACAGGAAAATATATGACAGTTAATTTCCGTATGAGATGATACCTTCAGATTGCTTAATTTTTGTTAGTTTTCCTTAAAGCCTTACACAATCAGAGAACAATTTTTTTAGAATTACAGACAAAACAGGAATGTTAAAAAGAGATATTCACACAGAGTCACTTCAGTCGAGGAGTATTAGTATTGGTTTGGGAAAAATATAGTGATTATTCAGAAATGCTATTTATCTTATATTTGAAAGAAGAATGTGAAATATTTTTCTGAATTATTGTGTTCTAAAACAACCCTGGGAAAAACAGTCTGCAGATCCATGTGACCAAATAATTGAAAATGCCTACAAAAAGCAGGATAAGAGACAAAGAAATTGAAAATAATCTTTAAAATACTGTAATGTCCCTACATGCATTAGTTGTATTTTAGTATTATGAATACTGTGTTATATTGTGAATATATGGATTTTTGTCTCAGTAAGACAAAAATTGAAATTTAAAACCAAGCAACACAAATTATCAGGTGTATGCAAAGACTAACACAGCATGTTAGATTTTGGGTCATACTATTTTGCGAAATAAATAACTTCTCTCTATCCTGTGTCAAATGAAACACCACTGGATCCAATCCTAATTGGTGTATTTGAAGGCAACTGCAACATAAGTAACATATAACCACAACAGTATAACTTTAAGTAGTTCATGAAATGAACTTTGTGCTGCAGGTTGCTATTTACTTTTCATCAGAAAACAGTACAAGAAATGATGAGTGATACCAAGCCAGAAATCCATTTAAAAGCAATAAATCTCCCTCACAATCACCCTGTGTGAACACATTACCACAAGTTACCTTTAATTCAGGATTCAGAGAAGGATTAGGGCATGATGAAGTTAAATTGCCAGACAGGAAAAAGTGAAAAATGCTTAGAAGTTAAATGAGTGCTTAGACCTCAAGAAACAAAAAAGTTACTACAAGGTGAAAATGTTGAGAACTTATTGAGCAGATATATTTACAGTAAATATAAATAACCAGATCTAGTAGTAAGAATTGCTCGTCAGATATGACGAAGATTCTTATTTAAGGCTTAGGTTCTTTGGTGGCAAAACATATTTGCCATCTCACACCATCATATTTTTATTATATTAAGTCTCTTAACTTCATATTTATGTTTAGCTAGTACACCATGAACATAATTTTCTGTGGCAGCACTTACTGATGCATCAGAAGCACTAATCTAGGTTTGCATAACCCCCTTTCTTTCTTTGTTTCTTAAAAGACATTTACTTACATTTTTAGTGACTCAGAAGATCTTCAAGGTTACTCTGAATGCTCTTTATTTGTATTGTGAAGCACTGATGTAATTAAGAAATCTTCTCGCTCACAAAATTATTCCAGACTTGAGAACCATATCATGTAAATTAGCAGCACGCAGGAAATTTCCTGAAAAACAAAAAGCATCAGGTAAGCTTGATATTTTAGGGAAAAAACCTCTAAAATACATTATTGCTTCATATTTTAGAAATCAATTTAAAGACAGTACTATGGGGCAGGAACTACATCTACGACGCTGGACTTGCCTGCCTAGCACCATGATCTGGTTTCACTCATTCAGACTTCAAAGTCTAATTCCTTACAAGTTCCCCATGTAAAAAGAAGGCAAGCACTTCCCAAAAGGTGATTCAAGTACTTAAGACCTGTGGCGTGACAGCGATCCAGCCCCGTGCCTTACCATTGGGCAGGCAGCTGTTCTGCCAATGACCAGGCCCAACAAAAATGATACCACCACCAGCAGGAAGATGAACCAGTACACAGACTGTATTGTAGACAAGAAGGACATTCCATGAGTGATCGCTGGGGGTACAAACAGATCAATCAGCTGGTACATAATTGACGCCACCCCCAACGATCTCACAAAGGACGTGACTCGGCCCACAACAGGTGGTACAAACAGAGACCCGAGGCGGCCCACAGTTGGCATGGGAAACAGCCAGAGCAGCAAGCTGAACACATAAGAGAAAGGTGCCCACATGGCGACTCTCACCCCATCGGGCCGCGTTCACAAAGGTCTTGAGCAGACTGGGGCCCAGCTCCAGGGAGAGTCAGGAGGTCTGCCCTGAACCAGGAAGCTCTGGGGAGTGCACTCCACAGACAGACACTCCTGACTCCCTGCAAGTGGTCCCAGCTTTTATCCCCAAGCAGACACCTGACCTTTGTCAACTCAATGCGGGACCCCTGGGGCTCATTTCCCTTCTGGCTCTCCCTGCAGGGCCGGCCGCACCCTGGGGGGAAGCTATAAGGCAAACTCACCCCCTCTGTATGAAGGGCTGTGGGAATCACCCATATGTCAACCTTAATTCAGGACTCGGGGTTCAAACCCCAGCATTTCAGCAGCATCAGCACTGACAACGGCCAGTCTAGAGACAACTGGTACACCCAGCCAGCTGGAACTGAAACACAGTCCTTCTGACCCCCGTGAAGCGGAAAGAACGGTTGTCACTGAGAAGTGCGCTGGAAGTTCCCCTGCTCCAGCAGAGCCCAGCTTCCAGGATGTTCCATGCCTCTTTCAGTCCTGTTTCTACCACAATCACCCTCAGCTTTGGTCCCAAGCTTTCCCTAGCTTGATGCTTGTGAACAAAACTTTATTTTGTAGGAAAACATCCAGCTGAAGTGACCCACAATTCTGATGCAACTTGTGCTGTTGCTTCTTCTGCAGAAGCACTATGTACAGATGCACAGCCCAAACCCTTCAGTCTGGCTCAGATTAACAGGATTCATTCCCTACCTTGTTTGGTTTTTGTCTCCAACAGTAATGAAGAATCATACCATACAAAAAAAAGCACAGTATCAGGTACCAGCTCCATCATCAAAAGTAGGCAGTGAGTGTACTGAGAGCAGTGCAGCCACGTCCAGCACGGAGTTCAGCCTCTGCTAGAAGCCCAGCTGCCTGGCACTGTGAAGATCTCAGCGCCAGCACTACAGGTGCAGGCACCAGCCAGTGTGAACATGTGCCTGCATGAGCTGTGATCATCTCCTGCCTACCAGATGAGCCAGGCTGGGCTACCAGTAACTATGTAGAGACAGACTCAGCCGAAGTATAAGTAAAGCTAACACATCTCTGGCCAACAGGTGAGACCTTGGAGTCATTCAGGAGGGTAAGTGGACCATCACACTGCCTTGGGTTCACATCAGGTGTGCTCCCCATTAGGGACATTCCCGTTGGGAATAACGCTGGTAAACAGCAGCAAACTTAAGTAGGCAAATTGAACACCTAATGGACTGGGACCACTGAATGCTTCCACAACACATATGTTAAAGCATGCTGCAAACAAGAAAGATCTTCAACGTTCAAGTGACCTTAAATTACAACTTGTCTCCTTGACCCTTTTGCAAACTTAAAACTCTAAAACTGCTGAAAACTCTAAAACTCTTCTTGATCCCATGCCAAAGAAACAATGACATTTGGAAAAAGTAGAACCAAGTTATAACAAAATACAGTACTTTGTTTCTGAAAAAAAGTAAAACACATTTTCTAACACCCCATCATAAAAATATTTCCTACTGAAGCCTTTACAAACCCAGCTCACAGCCCACAGTTTCAATTGTCTAATGAAGCATTAGAGCTCACTGCATTCTACTGCATCACAACCAGAGCTTAAGAGTCTTTACAGAAGCTAAAGAGAGAATGAAGAAAAACTGCGTACGTTAGGTACTTAAAACACACATGTATTTTCTTCAGAATAGAATCTGTAGCTCACCTTCAGTATCCATCAATATCCAAGCACCTTAACGCACCAGATCACCTGCACATCTTTAAAGACCAAAAGACATCCACAAAGAGATCTCTGGTTTGTTGCTAGGCTCTCAGATGCACGCTTTAACCAGAAGTGTGTTTTCTGCCCTAACGCATGAGCCATGGTAACAGCGATGCTCTCTGAAGGGCGCTGCTGATTCTAATAGGCTACTGAAAATTACCTCAGCCTGGTTTAGGTAATGCAGTTATGTCATGTTCTGTCAAGCAGAATACACATCTCCCTGTGGAGGATGAGCTCATGCTGTTAGGCATAGGGCAAAATATAAATCAGGGCAGCACATTACAAATTTAATTGAAAACTGTTATTCTGCTCCTTGAAATTCTTTTCTCTGAAAGCTTTGGTAAGATGAGCTTTCAGTTGTAATGAAATTTAAAACACAAGTAGCTGAAATGAGCAACAGCATTTTTCTAATCTAGCAGAATATGTTCTGTATGTTTTAGGAAGCTTATTTTACAACATTTTATCATGACAAAAATATTAAAAGTTAAAAAAAATGAGATAGATAGCAAGCATAAAGATTATGCTACAGGTACTAAGTAGTAGAAAATAATGTGATTCAAGAAGATCTAAAACTACTCTCAGCAAGCTACCAAAAATGACCAAAGTATCTCTGTACAGCAATAAAAGCAAAAATATATTTTACCTTTTATAAATGCAATTGTACCAATGCCTTGCTTTTGACAGGAAAATGATAACTAGAACAATGGTTTTACTCCATCTCAGCCTGGATTTACTTATTCTGCCTTGACCTAATGAAAATAAATTCACATCATCATATATCACCACTGCCATAAAACCCATCAGATTTCTTTTTAAAGCAACATTTATTTGAATTGTGAACCAACATGAGAAATCAATGATTTAGTGATAAAAATAATACTGAAGCTGCTCAGACAGGGAAGGAAGCAAATAACTGAATTGTCTCTAGTTACCAATTGTACCTTGAAATATGCAAATCACAGAAGGCAACACATGTTCAGTGTGTGTCAGCTGCCACAAAGCAATGATTGTAAGAAGTATTAAAATACACGTCCAGAACAGAAACCAGTATCATAAAACACATCCTTACAGATTAGAAAGGGCTGTTTTCCATCTCACATGACTGCAAGAGAAAATGTCAAGCATTCACAGAAGATATTTTATGTCCATAAATATATACATGGTACATTGTG